TGTGGAATGGCTGGTGGGTTCGAACCACCAGTCTTTTGGTTAGCAGCCAAATGCCTTAACCATTGCACCACCAGAGCTCCTGAAAAGTACACTATACATGTTCATCATGGAATGACTTTTGATGCCCTGCCAGTAAGTTATGGGGAGTGGACATCCACCATTATCACTGACCTTAGGAAGATGATCAAGCAATCCTTACTGAAGGATGCTACCACGTTCACATCCCACTGTCATTTTTTTAAAAATCAGATATGACTAATTTATTTCATTTCTTTTACAGATATTTTCCCTCTCTATATGTATACTTATCTAGCTGTAGAAAATATAATATAAACAGTGCTTAGCACTTTAAGAAATATAAATTAAAATGCTACCTATCCATTGGTGAGCCCAGTCCTCCAGCAAGGACAAGGTGAGTAGGCTGTGCTCTGTGGTGAAACTAAAGTGCACACCGGTTGAGGTAATAAATCACATCTGTGGTTAATTTCGTTACTTGCTTGACGTAGCTGCACATTTTTGCTCTGGTTTTATTTGTGTGATTATGATTTGTATCCCAGTTCTGACTCATACTCCCTAAGATCTCCCATAATTCGTGTGTGTTTCTGAGGACATGTGCAAGGGCTGTGTGAACACCCAGTCATGTTCCTCCTGCCTTTAAAATGAATTTTCCTTCTAGGTTTCTCATTCGCCATTGTCTGTTGCTAAGCATCAAGAGAGGGGAATAGCGACCACAGACTGTGACGGTTCTCCCAGCGTAGAGGAGACCAACCAGTTCTCCTGCTCCGTGCTCTGAGAGTCTGTCCTGAGCCAATTTCAAATCATAGCTTTGAGGGCAAGGTGTTGGCTCTAGTGTGGGGACATTACGTTCCCTTGTTCAGTACTCTTCAAAAGGAGAGGTCCTTAGTGTGCTGAGTGAAAATCTATAGAATATATCAAAATTTTAAACTCTGCTAAGTCTCCCACAGGCCAGTACATGGTAATTTATATAATTTCAGGAAAAGGCAAACAGTAGCCCTTTTAACAAAGAACCTAGACCATCTCAAGCAGCTGGAGTCACATCTGTAGGCATGGGATTGATAGGTTTTCTTGTGGTATTCCTCTGTGGGAATCCTGGCACTGGCATACAAAGGAGACGGTTCATTCCACACACACCTCACATTTTTAAAATCATTTGCTATTTAATATTACGGCCAAATCCCGTGGTATAAACAATTGGGCTTTTAACAGGCTTAAGAATATCTGTATGTTCATCGATAGGTTTGTTCAAAGAGATGCACGAGGGTAGAAATAATACAAGTAAACCTGAAACTTGAGGGAATCGGGACCAAGGGAACGGAGAGTCAGCGGGCGAGGACACGCTCACGCGTCTGCCTGAGGTTGCACCAGTGCCACTCCGCTGTCCAGCAGCTGCGAGACGGACAGAGGGCATGCACCTGGTCCAGGCACACGGCAGCTCTCGTGCAGTAGGTTCTGTCTGGGAGATGTTCTCATTTGTAAAGTAGGAGGTGTCTGGTAACAAAGGTAGTGGCCTTGTTTACTAGGTCATGACCCTCAAAAGTAGATACTAGGGCAACCATACTAACACAATCTCTATGGAAATGTGACAGCTACGAAACCAAGGTCACGGGTATAAATCTGAACAAATATACCACATATATATATTTTACTAAAGAGTGAAATGAATAAGAATGCATGCCATCTCAGAGTAAAGTCAATACAGAGACAGGCTTCGAATTTCCCAGCCTACTAATAGTACTGATGGTGTGGCTATAAACTGGCGGAAAGTGAGCCCGAAGATGCTCACACATGGGCTGATTCTTCTGCGACTTCCGTGGGAAAGATGGGCTCGGGCAGCTTGCCGTCTGTGGCAGTAGCAGCCTCCGGTGCCTCGGCGGCTTCCTCATTAAAGTGAACAAATGTGTGTTCTTCAATCAAATCTATTGGGGGGAAGAAAAAAGGCAACAATGAAGCCCATTGTCTACTCCAACAGTGTGACTTTTAAGATGATGTTTGTTTCACGATTTTGAGGAGATCATCTTGGGAACCACCCAGCGGGCTCACGTAGCAAATGCCACACTCAGCGGCGCTAAGATCGCCATCAGAACAGCTTCCAGCACCATTTGAAACTGGACCTGCCTTTGGTTCTACATCAACGTGTGCAATGCACCTTCAGTTTATCTTAGATCCTAATCCAACGTTCTGGAACATTTTGATGTGCAGTGGACTTCGGGGCAGAGCCTTGGCAGAAGCAGGTAAGAGGAAGGAGATGCTCTAGAGGAAAGGCCAGTATTATTCCTGGATACAAACCACGGCCAGCGACCTACGCCAAGGCCGGCCCTCACACGTGATGACCTTGTTTTAATGGTTGAGTTTTTGCCAAGATCTCAAAAGTGGGAGTAAAGGGGTTGGCTTTTCCATTTTTGGTTCCCTTCACATTTATTGACCACTGCCAGTGCCAGCAATTCTAGTTAATCAGTAAATCCATTCTGGAATGTCACTAGGGCGGAGGCTGGGCTGTGGTCACTTGTGTTCCTTCTCTGCCCTGAAGCAATGGTGAAGTCTGGCTGGAAGTATGAGGTCAGCTAAGGGACCTGAGGCCTTCACAAGTCAGGACGACATATGACATAGCCAGGTGATGGGTGGAACGATACAGTTTTACCTATTTGATTAAACAAGCCTTTGTGTTAAACACACAGACAAAACAACACCAGCAAACTTCTAACTGCCCTTGCATACCTCAGAACAGTCTCCCAACTCTTTGTTCTCTGTAAGTCTTAGGCTATGTTGTCACACTCACTACTCATGTTAAACATGATGAGTTTGTAATCACAGTTGCAGTTGGTCTCTTTAAAATGTCTCTGCATGCCAAGGACCTCCTTTTAGCTATTACAATCCACTACAAAAAAAGACAAATGTATATTTGGTAGTATTTCTCCCCAGTCAGCCAGTACACATTTATGTCTTCCTGTGCACATGTAGGGAGGTCTTGTTTCCAAAATGATGGGCTCATTTCTCGTGAGACTTTTGCCTTTCCAAGACATAACAGTCACATTAACATGCATCCTGCTCCTTTTAAGAAAAACATGTTGTTTCAAGAAGCATCAGGAAAACATCCACCTTTAACTTCTCTGGGCTGTGCAGAGAAACCTTAAGTATAACTGGGACCATGACAAAAGGTAGGCTTGGAGATTGCAATCAGTTAATTCTATTGAAAAGCATCATGCAGCCTATTCAGTGAGAAGAAGGGAGGGAGTTTTAAGCATTCAGGTAAATAGATAATCCATTCAGACAACAGTATACATTGTGGCAAGAGCCATCCTAGTCTGTCAGCCCTTAGTTGTACCCTTTGGGTTCCCCTGCCCTCCCGCGGAGGGACTTCTCTTCCCCTGCGCCCCATCTTTGTTCCTTATTGGTAGCTAAGTGGAAACAAAGCCGAACAGCACATACGCAGTGTTCCATTCTGGCCAAGTTCTTCCTCTATAGTCAAAAGGCGGTTGTATTTAGTCACTCGTTCCCCGCGAGAAAGGCCTCCCAACTTGATAAACCGGACGCCCAGTCCTACGGCCTAAAGGGGGAAAACAACTGCCGTTAAATAGAGTTGTGTTTCCGCTAAAGGACACACAGTTCCTCAGAAAGAAAGGAAACGGTCATGGTGAGTTTGAGTGGTTTTTTTTTTAATAGTTTTTTTTTTTTTTTTTCCATCTTTACATAAGTAAAGCAGCCTGCCTACAAGCTGATGTGTCAAAAGGTGGACAGACAGACTACATCAGACCCCGCGCTAGCTGTGTGAGTGTGCTGTTTTTATCTGAGAACAGGTTGGCCTTTCTCAGTTCATTTTAGAAGGTAAGATTGCAGGTGCCCACCCCAGTCATTCAAGTGGACACATCATTTTTCCTGGACTTCAATCTTTCTTATTTTTAAAAGTTCAAAGATCAGCTCTTTGAAAGAGGTAGCTGTCTAGGAGGAAGCAAGTCTATTTCATAAAAGGTTACATGACTTTCTCTACCAAAGACTGCACTTCCCTGAAATACCAATTCATGATAAAAGCAGTGCTTGGGCAGTTCTACAATTGACCAGCTTTCAGCACTTACCAAATCGACAAGGCTGTCATCAGACGACTCTCCTTCTGTGCTTCCAAAGACAGCGAGGTGCTTCCTACCTGTCAGCAAGGAACTGTGTGCAGTTTACACAGGGCGCAAACAGTTAGCTACAGATGAGCCTCTGGGATCCAGATTGCAAATCTGCCAGAGGTTATAAATGCCCCGCTAAGAATCAAACAATTTGTTCACTGAAGAATTCCAACCCAAACATTTGCATTTTCATTGTCTTCTTTTGATCTGCTCATCCCTCTTGCCAGTCACTTATTCTATACTCAGTGAACACCATGCCTCATCAAATCTAAGGTAGCGTACATGGCAAGATTTACCATTATTTTATTACCACTTGGGGGGAAAATGTGCAAATTAGATTGACATGTTTGTCAAACCACAGCATTGTAAGGCGGGATTCAATTTCAATTCAATGCAGAGTAATGTCACCTTTGAGTCAATGAAAAGGTAAGTGCAAGGGCACCGTATGGGGAGTTAATGTATCCAGATGATGTGTCTGCTCTTAGTGGTGTAGGATTTAATTCAGAGGAATCGGCCACTCTGAATGTTTACTTCTTAGATGAGCAGTGTTGAGAGTGTTTACTCAAGCATTTGAGAATCTCAGAACTCCTTGAAATTTGCCAAACCTACAGAGAGTGCAGCCAGAGGCCCCCCTGCAGTGGCAGTGCTGGTTTCACAGGCAGAAGCTACAGCAGCAATCAGAGGTGGAGGGAGGAATGGCTGAGGAGTGGGAGGCTGGGAGGAAAGGACTGCCTGGCGGTCAGCCCCCCTGGGGCCCTGGACAAGGGCGTTCTGCAGCCTGAGGGGCTTTTGGCATTTCATTCCCTCCTCTGGCATCAGCGGAGGCCCATGGATGCCAGCCTGGCTCCAGTCTGCTCCAGGTCTGCGACTGCCCTTCCACTAATCCTGAGACCCACTCATGATATTTGTGGTTCAGGCACTGCTGTAAGTGAATAAGACTCCCCATGAACTAATGAGAATTTATAGTGTAGCGAGGGGCACTAGACATTAAATAATTGTACAAGTAATTGTTCAGTACCATAACGCAACAGTTTAGGATGCTATGAGAAAGGTTCAGAGCAGAACCTGCTCAGGGTGGGGGAAGTCAGGGAAGACATATATGTCTGAAGACGTTTCACTAAAGACAAACGTGAAGGTTAAGAATACACCGTGTGGGAAGACACATGCTGGCGGGACAGCAGGTTCAAAGACCTTGAGGTAGGAAAGAATTTGCAACTTCTGAAGAATTAAAAAAAGACCCATTGTTGGCAAGTGGGATCCCTGTAAGGTCCTGGAAGACTTTACCTTACCTCTCCAAGCCTTGTTTCCTCCTCAGAAAGATGGAAGTAACAATGTTTACCTCATAGATCATTTCCAGTTCTAAAATGCCTAACCATTGGCACTCAATTATAAGTTCTCTCCGCTGGCATCCCAGGCCCACCAACATTGAAGCTCTGGTTTTTACCTGTCATTCCTCAAACCCAACTACCTGGCATTCTGATTCTAGATGCTTTCCTGATGCTACGTGGCCTTGCTAACCTGCCTGCCCGCTTCCTTCCCAATGCTGCCTGCTAGTGGTCAGTCTACTCCCACCCCAGGACTCTGGCCAGACTTAAAAAAAAAAAAAAGCACCAAACTCACTGCCATTGAGTAGATCTTAATTCCTAGTGACCCCCATTGGGGTTTCCAAGGCTATAACTCATTACAGAAGCAGACTGCCATGGAGCAGCTAGTGGGTTTGAACCACTGATGTTTTGTTAGCAGCCACACACCTCAACTAGTACACTACCAGATAGGAAACCATCTGCTTTTTCTGATTGGATCTTACCTGTTCGTTTAACTATTAAAGCAGAACCACTCCCTGCAGTGAGTGATCTAGTTACAAACTCTGGTCCTTTCTAGACTTTCCCAGGTCATTGCAAATTAAGACAGTGCACTGATGTCTGGGTGGATTACAACAAGCTATGCAGCTATACTTACTTTTCAAGTCACTATCCTTACTATGTACTTGGGAGCTCTGGAACCGTAGTGCCTAAGGCACTTGACTGCTAACCAGAAGGCTGGTGGTTCAAACCCACCAGCCACTCCTGGGAAGGAAGTTCGGGCAATCTATTTCCGTAGTGATACTGCCTCGGAAACCCAGGGAGGGGTCGCTATGAGTCACACTCGACAGCACACAACAACAACAACACAACACTTTGTACTTGGGCTGTACCTATGTGGAAGAGCTGTGGGCCCTGTTTTTGAGATGCTAGGAGATGAATCTAGAGCATAAAAAACAAAAACCAAACTCACTGCCGTCGAGTCAGATCCAACTGTTTAGAGTTTTTTTTCAGTTTTTGCCCCGTGTTTGTTTTTTTTTTTTTTTTGGCATCTTGTAGAACCAAGTTAAATTCATTATGGATCTTTCAAACCTATGCTTGTACTCACTGTCAATGAAATTGGTTATTGCCACCAAGTCAGACATCGTAGTTTGATTTGTATGTTTTATGATCAGCCCACTGGCTCTGGGGACGCTGATATTTCCATCCTTTAGAAGCTTAGTGATGCTTTTGGATGCAGTTCCTGCGATTATGTAACACCCGGAACCAAGAGCATTATAGATGCTGCCCCACTGTTCAGAGTCCTGGGTAAATATTTAAGAATTGATTGTTACAATGTATTGAACATCATCTCAAAACAACAGGAAGTATATAGCACATGCTCAAAGTCATATACTTTTCCTGAGAAATACACAAAATCTTGTGTTTTCGTTTTTTGCCTCTATGGCTGAATGATACCTGCTACTACAGCCACCCAAAGTGACAGGCTTCACAGACAGAAACTGAAAATGACTGAGATTTAAGCTGAAGGAGTCTAGGGAATAAGATATTAGCAGACATGAAGTGCTGTCCCCAACATGGATTCTGGAGTGCTCACACAGGCTCTTCCCACCCACCACGTCATCCGTGATGCTTCCAAAGACTGCCTGGTTAGAAGATTTTCTGTTATTTCAGGTAAATAGACAACTAGAAGAAAGGAGGCTACAGGGGTTCTAGGACCTCTTTCTCAACACCCCTATTTTTATGGGTGAGACCACCCCATTTAACAGTTATCATTCAAAAGGGAAACAACAGACGAAGCCATCCGTGCCATTCTACCAGATTCTAACCTCTCCCGTCGACCCAGCCACGCAGTACGTCTTATCACATCCTAGAAGCTGTGGTCAGAGCCTCAGGACGCTTTCCTCCACAGCCAGGTGGGCAGCCACGGAACTGGGCCCCATAAGTGTGTTTTCACAGTGCTGGCGTCTAGTGTGGACTGTGAAAGGAAGGATGTGCAGAGTGGGACTGAGAGCCCCTGGGACTCCAACCAGAGCCATCACGCCTATTGTCCCCAGTGTTTGAACAGCTCTCTCTGAGAGGCGAGTGTGCTATTCAGATTCACAAAATCAAGACTAAGTTTTGGAATTTAAGTGGGGTTATGGATTGACCTGTGTCCCCCAAAGTAGGTGGTGCTGGCACCCTAACCCTCTAGCTGTGGAGGTGTCCTTGGAGGTAGGTTTTCTTCACTAGGTTAAGGAGGCTGTGTCAGTGCAGTGTGTCCTCAGTGTAATCACCGCTGAGTTACAGAAAGAACAGATCAGACACACAAGGAAGGGCACACTGGAGAAGACGTTTTGTGTGAGGATCCTCTACCAGCCAAAGAACCAAGGAACACAGCAGAGACCCTGGTTTGGACTTGTAGCCCCCAGAACTGTGAGAAAATAAATTTCTGTTCTCTAAAGCCATCCACTCCCAGTCTGTGTGTTCCAGCAGCATTAGGAAACTCAGAAGGCATTAGGAGGAGAGCCGGCCTGCTGGGCACATAAACACGCCTGGTCAGATGCACTGCTTTGAATAGATCAGAAAACCTCAGTATCTCAAGCTTTGACCTATATGGCTTTATGACTATGCATAGGTAGTAGCTAGATTTAGGTTAGAAAATGCATGGCCTTGGACAAGGCCGGGTCCATGAGCACCTGAAAATGGTGGACAATCACCCTAGTGAAGCACCAAGCACAGTGGGCTCAGGGCTCGGCTTCCATCAGTAAGTGGTTGTAAACACACAGACTGTAAAATGCCTGGGAGGAGCTTATTTCATTCAGTAGGCTCACTCATATGCCATTGTGTTTTTGCCATGCATTTGCTTACTAAGTGCCTTTTACTCACGTTGTTGTTTGGTGCCATCGAGTCGTCTCCGACTCACAGTGACCCTATACCCAGCAGAACTAAACACTGCCCTATCCTGTGCCAGCCTCACTTGCTACACCTGAGCCCATTGTTGCGGCCATTGTGTCTGTCCATCTCATTGAGGGCCTTCCCCTCCTCTCTCGTTGACCCTCCACTTTACCAAGCATGATATCCTTCTTCAGAAGAATGGTCCCTTCTGGCAGCATGACCAAAGTAGGTAAGGCGAAGTCTGGCCATTCTCGCTTCCAAGGAGCATTTTGGCTGCACTTCCTCCATGGCAGATTTGTTAGTCCTTTTAGCAGTCCATGGTACTCTTAGGATTCTTCTCCAACACCACCGCTCAAAAGCCTCAAATCTTCCTCGGTTTTCCTTATTCATTGTCTAGCTCTCACATGCATAAGAGGTGATTGAAAATACCATGGCTTGGGTTAGGCACACCTTAGTCTTCAAGGAGAAATCCTTGCTCTTCATCACTTGAAAGAAGTCCTTTGCAGCAGATTTGCCCAATGCAATATGTTATCTGATGTCTTGACTGCTGCTTCCATTGGTGTTGATTGTAGAGCCAAGGAAGATAAAATCTTTGACAACTTCAATCTTGTCTCCATCCACTGTGAACCTGTTTATTGGACCAGTTGTGAGGATTTTGTTTTCCTAATATTGAGTTGTAATCCATACTGCAGACTGTAGTCTTTAATCTTCATCAGTAAGTGCTTCAAGTCATCCTCACTTTCAGCAAGTAAAGTTGTGTCATCTGCATATCGCAAGTTGTAAATGATTCTCCCTCCATTCCTGATGCCACATTCTTCTTCATATAATCCAGCTTCTTGGATTATTTGCTCAGCACACAAGCTGAACACGTATGGTGAGAGGATACAACCCTGATGCACTCTCTTCTTAATTGTGAACCATGCAGTATCCCCTTGTTCTGTTTGAATGAGAGCCTCCTGATTGATGTACAGGTTCCTCAGGAGTACAATCAAGTGTTCTGGAATTCCCATTCTTCTCAATGTTATCCACAGGTTTTTTGTTGTTGTTGTTGTTGTTCTTTTTTAATACACACAATCATCAAATGCTTTTGCATGGTCAATAAAACATAAGTAAACATCTTTCTGGTATTCTTTGCTTTCAGCTAAGATCCATCTGATATTAGCAATTATATCCCTCATTCCATGTACTCTTCTGATTCCAGCTTGCATTTCTGGAAGTTCTCTGTCAATATACTGCTGCAGCCATTTTTTAATTATCTTCAGTAAGATTATACTTGCATGTGACATTAATCGTATTGTTCAATAATTTCCACATTCTGTGGGATCACCTTTCTTTGGAATGGGTACAAATATGGATCTCTTCCAGTCATTTGGCCAAGTAGCTGTCTTCCAAATCTCTTGGCATAACCGAGTGAGTTCCTCCAGTGGGACATCCGTTTGTTGAAACATCTCAATGGGTATTCCATCAATTCCTGGATCCTTGTTCTTCAGCAACTGCTTCAGTGCAGCTTCAACTTCTTCCTTCAATATCATTGGTTCTTAATTATATGCCACATCCTGACATCGATGAACATTGACCACTTCTTTTTGGTACAGTGATTCTGTGTATTTCTTCCATCTTCTTTTGATGCTTCCTGCATCACTCACTATTTTGCCCACAGAATCTTTCAGTACTGCAACTAGAGGCTTAACTTTTTTCCTCAGTCCTTTCAGCTTGAGAAATGCCGAGCCTATTTTTCCTTTTTGGTTCTCTTTGCACATTTCATTATACTAATTGGCTTTGTCTGTTTGAGCTGCTCTTTGAAATCTTCTGTTTAGCTCTTTTATCTTGTCAACTCTTACATTTTCTTTAGCTACTCTGCACTCAAGGGCAAGTTTCAGAGTTTCTTCTGACATCCATTTTGGTCTTTTCTTTCTTATCTTTTAATGACCTCTTACTTTCTTCATGGATGATGTTCTTGATGTCATCCCACAATTCCTCTAGTCTTTGATCAATGGTGTTCAGTGCATCAAATCTATTCTTTAAATGGTCTCTAAATTCAGGAGGGATATTATCACGGTTGTATTTTGGCTCTCATGGATTTGTTTTGATTGTCTTCAAGTTGAACTTGTATATGAGCTGTTGATGGTCTGTTCCACAATCAGCTCCTAGCCTTGTTTTGGCCAAAGATATTGAACTTCTCCATCACCTCTTGCCACTGATGTAGTCAATCTGATTCCTTTGTATTCCATCTAGTGAAGTCCACTTGTATAGTCATTGCTTATGTTCTTGAAAAAAGGTATTGCAATGAGTAAGTCGTTGGTTTTGCAAAATTCTATCATGCCATCTCCGGAGTTATTTCTATCTGCAAGACTGTATTTTCCAACTACCAGTAAGTCTTCTTTTGTTTTCAGCTTTTGCATTCCAGTCATCAGTGATAACAAATACATCTTGATTGCATGTTCGATCAATTTGCAGAAGTTGGTAGAAATCTTCAATATCCTCATCTTTGGCTTTGGTGGTTGGTGAATAAATTTGGATAATAGTAGTATTAACTGTTCTTCCTTGTCAAATTCTACCCAACTTACCGCCGTCGAGTCAGATCCAACTTATAACAACCCCTCCTTGGGTTTCCGATGCAGTATCACTACAGAAGTAGGTCACCCAGTCTTCCTTCTGAGGAGTGGCTAGGGGTTTGAACTGCCAGCCTTCTGGTTAGCAGTCAGTGCCTTAGGTCTTCCTTGTAGGCATGTGGATATTATTCTATCACTGATAGCATTGTACTTCAGGACAGATCTTGAAATAGTCTTTGTGATGATGAATGCCACACCATTCCTCTTCAATCTGTAATTCCTAGCATAGTAGATCATATAGTTGTCTGATTCAAAATGGCCCAAACCAGTCCATTTCAGCTCACCAATGCCTAGGGTATTGATCTTTATGTGTTCATTTCATTTTTGACAACTTCCCATTTTCCTAGATTCATACTTTGTACATTCCATGTTCTGATTATTAATGGATGTTTGCATCTGTTTCTGCTCATTTTGAGTCATGCCACATCAGCCAGTGGAGGTCCTGAAAGCTTTACTCCATCCATATCGTTAAGGTCATCTCTACTTTGAGGAGTCAGCTCTTCCCCAGTCGAATTTTGAGTGCCTTCCGACCTGATAGGCTCATCTTCCAGCACTATGTCGGTCAGTGTTTCAGGGATGTTCCTAAAGTTTTCCAGTAATATATCTAACAGTGTTTCACTGCTATTCATAGGTTTTCACTGGTCAGTTCTTTGAGAGATGGATGGCCTCTTCCTTCTCCTGAGTCTAAGCCCAGAAGTTCTCCTGAAACCTCTCCCCCTTGGGTAACCCTGCTGGCATTTTGCAACACGGTGGCATAGCCTCCAGGCTCACAGCGACATGTAAGCTACCACAGGAGGACAAACTGACAGACAAGTTCATCTCCCTCAGTTGTTCCTAACCCCTCCCACCTGGCTACCTCAGTCCCCTGCCTTAATATAGAACCATACCCAAGCGAAAAGCAGCCTCCAAGCACTCCCACACCCAAGTGAAAAGCAGCCTCTGAGCCTTGGGCCTGCCTACCTCAAGTCCTGGCCTTTTACTCACAGGTGCTGAAATAAAGAAACTCAGCCCCAACCCGAATTTCAGTACATTTTGCATGACAGAGGTCCAAAAGAGCGAGATGGTATTGTTCTGTGTTTTGCTGTAAAATTCAAGGTGAGTCCTGCTTACCTCCTTCCTGAAAGGATCAATTAAGGCAATAATTGAAGGGTATTTGTTGATCAGATCCACGTACAGGTCCACCATCTCGGCAGCACTTTTTAATGTGCCGGTCATCACCTCATACTTCCCTTTACTCTGGGATGTAGAAGGAAAATACGAAAGGATAAACAAGGGATTCCTTAAATGTTACCGATGGGATTCAAATTCGATCATCATAAGGTTGGTAAGCACCTTCTTTCTAGGTCACACACCCTAGAGAAATCTCTGCCTTTACGTAGCTACTCAGTGTTAACCTGGGGGAATCAAGTCACCAGTTAAAGTGAAGTGGCTGGTCTCAGTCAGATTGGTTTTCCTCTCGATACCCATAGAGCTCTGCCCACTGACTTTGGATGCGGCTTTCTGCACAACCAACCAATGGGCACAGAGTGGGCAGGGGATAGTGTCTGATTTAGGTTTATGACCTGGTACCAGATACCTGCCTGGGTAGATGGGCAAGAACACAAATTCATAAAATAACACACAGAATAGCAGTGCACACCTGCCCCCTCACTAGAACACACCGTCTTTCAACACCTGGTGAACAAGTTGCTTGTTTCCTCCACTGTGAACAAAGTCTGAACCCGGGTCTAGGCTTGTGAAATAATGAAACCAGTGTGAGATGTACAGTGACGTCAGTGAAGGCATTTCTTTCTCAGACAGCATGGCATTTCTAGCACTAACATTACTGTCTTGAAAGGAGAATTTGAGTGTAACCTGTTCATTTAGGTCTGGAAAGCCCCCAGATCTTTAAATCCAAACCAAAACCCACTGCCACTGAGTTGCAGTGACCCTATAGGACAGAGTAGAACTACCCCATAGGGTTTCCAAGGCTGTAAATCTTTACGGAAGCAGACTGCCTCATTTTTCTCTCACGGAGCAACTGGTGGGTTTGAACCACTGACCTTTTGGTTAGCAGCCAAATGCTTTAACCACTACTCCAAAAGAGCTCCTTCCCAAGTCATCAAACCAAACCAAACCAAACTCACTGTCATCGAGTTGGGTCCAACTCATAGCAACCCCTCCTTGGGTTTCTGAGGTGGTATCACTACGGAAGTACATTTCCCAATCTGCTTTCTGAGGAGTGGCTGATGGGTTTGAACTGCCAGCCTTCTGGTTAGCAGTCAAATGCCTTAGGCTCTACACCACCTGAGCTCCCCAAGACATTGTTGTTGTTGTTATGTGCCGTCGAGTCAGCCCTGACTCATAGCGACCCCTCCTTGGGTTTCGGAGGCAGTATCACTAGGGATGTAGGATTGCCCAACCCCAAGACATTAGTATAGAAATAAACCTGCTAAATGATCTAATGGTTTCTCTCTCTGCAAAACAAAGCACCTTTACTTCCAAGTCTGTGTTTACAGATGGCCCCTGGGCACTTAGGTACTGGGAGGGAGGTGGGATGGACCAGCTGGCTGTTTGCTGTGCTGAAGTCTGCTTGTTGCTGCTGCTGGCTAATAGATTGGATTCCACTGGAATCAAGCTGGTTCCTAAGAAATCCGTAACTGCAGGGATTTTATACTTTTTTTCATGTTAAAAAAGCAGCAGCAAGAACTTTTGTTTCCATTAGGCAAAGTTTAAAAGTCCTATCTTGTCAGTGAGGAAATGCTAATGACTTTGAACTAACATTATTGTAAGAATTATCTGATATCAAGCTAATGCCTCTTACTGAATATAAGCAAAAAAGACCCCATTCTAGCTAACTAGCAGTCAGTATATTCATAGTTCTTGGTATACATTGTGGATGAAAACATGCAATTATTTTTCTTAATGGTATGCCTAGGAACCAATCATTATGTAGAGAAAAGGAAATTACTTTAAACATTCCTTTATGTACTTAGCTTCTTTAGGAAATTAAGAGAACTTTTCAAAATCAGCTGAAACTTTGGATTCTTATATATTATTCATAATTTCCTTTGTAGTTGAAGTAAGAATCATGCCTTAAAGCAGAATCCTATTTGGCCATATTCCCCTGAATGGGGAGTATGTGTAAAAGATGTGTATAAATGGGACTATATGTATAAGGCAGAAAACTTCCAAAGTTTCCCTAACAGACCAATTTGCCAAATTTAAAGGTTCATTTTTGGTGCATTACCCCAAGGAAGTGAGGACAGGAACATTTTGTCATGAGCCTGTTGGAGGCATGGCTTGAGTTTTCCATCCGCTCTCTCCTATAACTCCTTCCAGGTGGTACGGATTTCCTGGTGAAGCTTCTAAGGCCTTGCCTCCACACCCAGGCTGTGAATACCACTTTGATGTGTTTACTCAGATGTAAACATTTTCTCCATACATGTCAATAACTTGGAAATATTTTTGTATCTACCCAGCAGAAACTGTGAGAACCACGTGTAGACAGCCTGTCGAGTCACATTTATACTGATCCACTTTTCATGCTGGACAAACGTGGAATTTACCAACCACAAACCACTCAGGAGACTTGACCAGTTTGTTATTTTTTGTAATAACAAACATTGTAATTGCAATGTAATCAACGCATTTTATTAATTTTTATTACAGAATTTTTATATCTAATGAGCTCTGGTAGCATAGTGGGTAAGGCATTTAGCTGCTAACCAGGAGCTTGGCAGTTCAAACTCACCAGCTGCTCCAAGGGAGGATGAGGAGGCAACCTACTTCCATAAAGATTTACAGCCTTGGAAACTCTATGGGGGTCGCTAGGAGTTGGAATTTACTCAATAGCAGTAGGTTTGGTTTGGTTTAATGTTCATTAAGAAAGTCTCTGCTTTTAATTTTTTGAATTATATGGTTACGTGATTCGTTGGTCATTGGTTGATCTGGCTATCTCAACTCCGTCTTGGCCTCCTCACACAATATTAGTAAGAAACAATCTGCCCAGGAAAGATTCAGATCAGCCTTCTTTTGAGTACTAATTTCAAGAGCACCTCTGCGGAAAGTAAAAGTGCTGGAGCGAAGACTTACATAGTCCATCAACTCATGTGCCGCACAGTTGATGGCTAGATGCAGATTGGTGCCCAGTTCCAGACCCAGGTTTGCACAGATTCCTTGTATGAGGAGGATGGGCTGCTCGATGGTGTCAAAGCTCACAGTTAAGCAGCCAAGATGGGACATCTTACCAGTGATCTGCTGCTGCAAGTGCAAAAGGAAACGCTGCATGTAAAAATATAGCACATTAAGGTTCTCGGAGTCTTCAGTGATTGAGTTTACCTCAGACATAGCGCTCCGAAGATAAGGCCCTCCGATCCTGAACAGCCCCACTCCTGAGTCCCATTCATCTGCACGTGACTTTCGGGCATAGGATTCCTCTGCAGTATCTGGGAATGATTTTGTTCCTGCTGAGGTCTTCCCGTTTGGCCTGGGAGCACCTTGTCTCCCTTCAGTGTGCCTGCCTTGCCTTTGCTAGCTCTGCCATCTTCCGTGGGGCTGTCCTGAGCCACAGCCACGTGGCTGGTGAATCTCGGGGCTAGCCCTATAAGCATCTATGCTCTGTCCCTCACTCTGCCTGTCCTCTTCCTCCATTCTCTTCTGCAAACTTGTTCTATTTTCCTTTAGAAGGACATGGCTATTAAAACTTAAAATGTAACCTTCCCTCAGGAAAGGTGGTCTTTTTGAAAGGATTGAAGACTTCTGCTCAAAGCCTGCAGCACTGAGGCTGGATTAGTGGAAGAGGATTCAGGGACCCAAGTGACCCCAGAAAAGGGCAGCCACATGCCTTTAATGCAAGATCAGCTTTGATGTGCCCATGTCTTAAGTTACTACTGTGCAATTATAAGCTGCAGCACTAGCAGTGATTCTGAAGGCTTCAGGCTGTGTGAGTGTGTGTGTATACTAAACATGTAAGCATGAACCCAGGTATAAATGTCCCATTTTTACTGGTAATAGCCTTAGTTAACTTAAGAATCATCCAACATTTTTAATGTCAGTGAGTGGAACCTTTTATTCAGCAAACAGGAATAGCTGGGAAAATCTCTGTGTATCAGTTGAGACATCATGTTACGGAATCTTCTAAACTATGAAAGCATCACTTCCTGCTGCTCACTCAATACCAGGTGCTCTTCCAAGTGCATAAAGTAAGTACTATTACTCCTTTTACAACAACCCCAAGAAAAAGGCACCATTGTTATGTCCATTTAACAGAGTTAAGTAACACAGAACAGATTTTCGCCCAGCCAATACGGTTCCGGAGTCTATGCACATGACTCTGGCATGGCTGCCTATCGAGAATCTATCCTCTAACCTGTTTCTAACAGAAAAGGTAAAGCTGATCGCAGAGAGCCTGATCTTGGTCTGAGTTTCTCAGGACACAGAGGACAACCTGGTTGGAATGAAGGGAGCAGAGACACGGAGACTTGGTTACTTGTTCACCATCCCCCACCTCTCTTGCAAAACCACTTGTTCTTATTCCAACATGCACAACTGTCAAGCATTTTACTTAAGGTGGTACTTACATATTTCTCTTCTCTCAGTTTTAAGGAGGAACTTATTATTTTAATCTTTACCAATGCCCTTCTTTCATAGTGTCTCTTGCTGATGATGTCAACAGACTGACGTCCCTGCCATCAGGTTAGGTGACTGCAGGCTTCACATTGCAAATACTGCAGGTGTGAGTGGCCTCTGCCACCTGCATTATCTGCCAGGTTCTTTGTGGCTGTTGGGACCCTGAGCATACAGCAGGTGAATCTGTCAGAGCACCTCCCATCACAGGGTGACTGCTGGCCCCACTGGCCCCTGAGGCTCCGGCCTCCACAAGGACTGCCTGCCTCTCTTGACATGATCTGAATTTTGGCAGTGGTTTGTCCAAAAGGGCATTTCAGTGCCTTTTAGGGGCCAGACCCAAGGCCACCTTCTTTCTTTCTTTCTCTAATAGTAAAATTAAGAGCTAAAATATCCTACATGCCTTTCAGTCATCAGAGAGATTCAGCTTTCCAAACACTCACTTCAACTCTCATCCCATTATTCATAAGCGCTTCTCCCAGGCCTCGCAGGGGAGAGGTGGGCCGAGTGAGGTCCCAGCTCTGGGGCTGCCTTGGTTGGCACTCTTGAACAGTATCGTTGTATAATTTCCACATACAGTAGCAAAATGACTATGCGAGAGGAACAGGTCGGGGACTGTATCAGTAACGCATGTCATTGAGAGGGGTGATAAACAGATACACTTACTTGACCGCGCTTGGCTCCATTATGCCCTTTCTTTGTCTCTGTTTTTGGAGGAGGGGGCTGTGGGACAGAAGACAAAAACATCACTTGGGAGTTACAGACATGTCCCTGGCTGCTTCAGTAACTCTGGCCTGTCCCCTGCTCTGGGGCCAGGCCAGTTACACATTCCCGTGCACACGCCACCCACACAGAATCAACACCACCCACTTCCTTCTTTTACAAGCTTCAAATTCAGGCACAGCTTCCCTTCAGTTCGTCCTTCTGCCCCCAGTCACATATATGGGGATACATACGTGTTCATGCCTTTTTACTCTCAAAAAATCAAAGAAATGTATTGCTGTGGAGTGAATTCCAACTCATAGTGACCCTATAGGACACAGTAGAACTGTCCCATAGGGTTTCCAAGACTGTTACCTTTATGGAAGTAGATTGCCACATCCTTGTTCGGTGGAGCAGCTGGTGGGTTCAAATCACATCTTTTGGTTAGCACCTTAGCACTTAACCTGTGTGCCATGGGGCTCATACAACTAGAGTGTTGCTCCTACCCGGCTTACTGGCTCTTACCTGGTGCACTGATTCTCACCTGGCACACTGAGCTCTGGTGTTCACAGCACTCTCCTAGGCACTGACGGTACAGAGATCCCCCCTTGCCCTTCGGGAAGGACACCACTGTGGATTTGCTTGTGTAGGCTTAGGACATTGCTTCAAATACCCTCATGGTAAAAACACTTCTTCCTGCCAGGCAGATTTGACTTTTGGAACTAGCCAAAGGTGGGTGAGTCTGGTGGGTGTAATGTCATTGAGGTGAAAAGCAAAGGTAATTCCTAAAGGAGGAAGTATTTGGGGGTTTGATAGCCTACCGTAGGAACATTGAGTCTTCCATGGGATGCACGTTAATGCTCTCTTAGCTGGGGCATGTTTGTTAAGAATCAGTATGATTCACACTCAAGTTTGTGCAAATATAATTATCCTGTTGCTTGTCAGTGTGGAGTCATCTGAACTTTTTGTGTCCTGGTACAACTTAACAGTCAGGAAGCATGTGGATGTGTCCACGGTAGAAATGCAGTGGGGACTGAGACCCCCACAGGCACTGCCTCAGGGAGCTCGCAGTCCAGGGAACAGCCGGGCACAGCGAGGAAGGTAGCAGTGAAGAGCAAGGGGAATGCATCCGTGGAGAGTCAGGGCCGAGAGCTTGAAGAAGTAGACACATACTTGGATGAAGTGTAGGACTGAGGCGAAAGGGTGTGTGGTGGTGTCAAACCCTCTGGGTCCAGAGAAGCTTACAGGTGTGTCTGAAGGCCAGAGCCAGGGAGCATGGGTTTCTAGAAGAAGGGAGAGCACCGGCAGAGGGGGCTGCAGAGTGGGGACTACGAAGCTGGGGGGCTGGCAGGCAGGGGTTGAGGAGCAGGTAACCAGTAAACTACACTGAAGATCTGGGACTTGAACAGCGGGCAGGACACTGGGAAGTCAAGCAACATGATCCAGGGAAGAGCTGCATGCTTCCTGTGCCAGCTCAGAGCTGACAAACGTTGGAGAGCACTATTGCGTTGTGTTTCTACTGAATTCCTCCTGGGTTTCTCATCTTTCTAACGTGATTTCAAACGGCCTGAGGGCAGAGCAATGTCTTATACCCTATAATACCTCCTGTAGGGCCTCACAACAGCAATCAATAACTGGGAAAAACAACTCATGACACGTTTCTAACATCATAAGGGTGTAGCTATTCAATGGTGGTAAAGAGCCCAAATCTCCAGCATTTATAATTAGACAAGATGCCGTTTGTTCTTGAATGACTGTTCTTGGTCTATTGTTGTTATGTGCTGTTGAGTCGGACCTGACTCATTGCGACCCCACCTTGGGTTTCTGAGGCAGTATCACTACAGAAGTAGATTGCCCAACCTTCCTTCCGAGGAGTGGTTGGTGGATTTGAAACGCCAGCCTTCTGGTTAGCAGTCAAGTGCCTTAGGCACTATGCTACCAGAGCTCCTTGTTCTTGGTCTAGGTGGGTTTTAAAATAGCTAAAAACCCAAACAGACAAATACAACCTTTCATTAGCAAGAATTAGCCACATGAGGGTTCCTAGGAAAAGTCACATATGCTGATGCCTGACATGAAGTAACTTGCTTCTCTATGCCACCAGCCACATGCCCTCATCAGGAACATTCAATTTATTGCAAACACAAAGCAGTGTGCTTGTAGTAAGCCCCACTTCTAACTCTACCATCTCTCATTTGGAAAATGAAAAAAGGGTTTATAGCAAGGCTTTCTACAAACATGTTTCGGGTTAACTTCTGCCTAAGAAAATGAATGATTTCTTTAGCAATTTTTTTTTTTCTCTCAAAATGAATTTAAGATTTAATGAAAGGATTAAGTTAAGCCTGGGAACAATCTGGTATCAGCATAGTCACCAGGAAAGATTCAACATCTTTGTGTATTCAATTAAGGTTCTATCAATAGGCACTATTGCCTGTTGGTGGGACCAAGTCTGGTTCTTTCTATAAAGTACTTCCAGTCCTCCCAAGGTCATTATTTTTATTTTACAGATGAAAAAAGTGAAACACTGGCATGTATATAAGTAGTTCATGCCCTGGAAGAAGTACAGCCGGAATGCTCCTTGGAAGTGAGAATGGCCAGACTTCATCTCCCTTACTTTGGTCATGTTGTCAGAAGGGATCATTCCCTGAAGAAGGATATCATGCTCGGTAAAGTGAAAAAGATGAAGACCCTCAACAAGATGGATTGACATAGTGGCTGCAATGATGGGCTCAAGTACAGCAAGGATTGTGAGGCTGGTGGAGGACCGGGCAGTGTCCGGTCTGTTTGACACAGGGTTGCTATGCGTCGGAGCTGACTTGAGAGCACCTAGCAACCACATACAATGTTCACAGTGGCGGCTAGTCAGCGATCGGCCAAAACGGAAACTCAAGTCTGTTTAGCTTCAAGGATTGCTCTTTCCACACTACCTGTTGTTAGCAACTAAAGCTTTTTCACAGAAAGTCATAACACTGATGGAGGAATGACGTTTTTAAGGCCTAAAAATACTCTAAACATTGCACTGCTTTTTATTCAAGCGAGAATGAGCTAGTGGGAGCTGTTACTGAGAATCCCGCTGCAGCTCTCAGACATGTAACACCACGTGAAAAGTCAACAGGAATGTGACTCTTGCTTCATGCCATTCATACCAAATGAATTTGAGATGGATGATAAAAGTGTTCGAAGAAAACATATTCTATGAATTTTAGAAGATGGTTAAGATTGTGAACTATGGGACTAGACTTCCTGGGTTGGAATGCCAGCTCTGTCACCTGTGGGGAAATGACTAAGTTAGTTAACCTCTCTAGCCTCAGTTCCTTAATCTATAAAGTGGGGATGATATTAATAGTATCTACCTATAGAGTTGTTGTGAGGATTGACTGAGTTAAAATACTAAGGATTTAGAATGGTCCCTAGTAGCTTAAAAAGTACCTGTTAGTATCACAGAAAGGGAATGTGCCGAGTTAAACAAAGAAGAAAAGGTAACAGTCTTAAAGCAAGGTTTCTCACCCTCAGCACTATAGACACTCTGAGCTGGAAAATTCTTTGTTGCAGGGGTTGTCCTATGCATTGTAGGATGTTGAGCAACACTCCCAGCCTCTGCCCACCTCAGGCCAGTACGAGCCCTCCCTCCAAGCTCCTCCAATAGCCAAAAATGTCTCCAGACATTGACACCTGTCCCCTGGGGCAAGATCACTCCCGACTGAGAACCACAGCCTTGAAAGATCAGATTGACATGTTTACTATAGCAAAATTAAAAAAAAAAAAAAAAAGTAATGGTGCTATAAATAGTTAAAAGGCAAACAACATGATAATATGTATAACATATTAAAAAGGACTATATCCCTTATATACAGAATTCCTAGATATTAATACAAGATAAAACTTCAGTAAAACAGGCAAAGATATCATCAAGCAAGTTGCAGGACGATGACTTACATAGAACCATGCTATTTTTATAGTATTTTAAACACAAAGCACAATGCTTCGTATTATTTGTGCTTGTGTGTACAGATACAAAGAGAAGGACAGAAGGGTCACACACAAAGTTTTTAACAGTGGTCACCTCCAGAGAAAGGGTGGGATTGGGAGTGGTAACGGGTGCGGGGTTGGGGAGAGGAGCTAGCTCTGTCGGTATTTGACTGTTCACGAGAACATTCAGGAGTTACTTATATAGCTGAAAATCAATAAAGCATTTAAAAATCAGGCTGAATTACAGAAGCTCAAAAGCCTGGAACTTCCTAGTATTTTAAACCGAATGTTGGTTCAAACCCACCAGCCACTCCTCGGAAGGAAGATGGGGCAATCTACTTCCATAGTGATACTGCCTCAGAAACCCAAGGAGGGGTCGCTATGAGTCGGGGCTGATTCAACGGCACATAACAATAACAACAACAACAAGTCCTCTAATAACCAAAGCTCTACTGCTCACCACTGGGCAGCTCCTGCTCTAAACACATTACACACGTTGAACTCATTTGCCCTCACAATCGCCTATGACATGGGTGCTTCTACACCCATGTTATAGATGAGGGACCTCAGGTGAAGAGGCTATGAAACTGGCCCAAGATCACACAGCCGGTAAGTGGCAAAGCAGAGTGAAGGTCAGGGTTAACTTGTCCAAGTCCCATCCTCTGCTGCCTGGTCACACAGAAAAGAAGGTGACTTCCTGAGAAGTTCTGTGGAAACCGGCTCCAGCCTGGTGCTTAGAGCGCCTGGTGCTTGGAGCCCACACACCCACCCCATCATGCCAGGGTAGGGGCTGTGCTGCCTGCCTGCACTCACAGACTGTGTGCTGGCAAGAGGCACTGGAGCCAAGCTTCCTCCATGCCAGGATGCTGCTGTATCCTGGCCCCACTCTACAGCTGGTGCCTCTACTTGGGCAGCTTAAAAGCCTCATGAAATGTAATGTGGGATCCTGAACTGGATCCTGGAACAGAAAAAGAGCATCAGGAGGAAGAAACAGTGAAAGTTTGGTTAATAGTAAGGCACCATTTTGGTTTCCTAGTTTTCACAACTGTACTATGGTAATGTATCACACTGACACTGGGGGAAACTGGGTGAGGGGTAGACAGAATTCCACCACTTTCGCAGGTTTTCTGTAAATCTAATATTCCCAAATTAAAAGTTTATTAAAACAAACAAACAAACAAAAGCTTCACAGACAAGGCTGAGGTCCCCCTCTAAGAGCCTGAGGTCCAGCCTTGCTCTATGACCGTTCCCTGCCCTAAGACAGACTATGAGGGGACAGCTGGTGACTCATACAACTGCCTCTCATCTCCGCTTCCCAGAGACAGCTGCTCAACCAAGGGCCCTTGTTTGCCCAACTCAGGCAGTCTAGCTCCAGAGTCTGAGTCTTAACTAATATGGCAAACTGCCTCTCATGTGCTAGGGGCCAAATCCTTTCTTCCTTTGCAAATCCTAAGGGATGATCTTAGCATAGAGCCAGCTGCCTCACAATCTAAATGAGATTAAGGACCATTAGAAACTGGATTGGTAGCCAGTGATGGAATGTATAACCTTGGCTCATATGGGTAAACCAAAGTAAATGAACATGTTTTCCAGACCAATAAAAACAATATTGATTTAATTCCATAATCAACTGTAGACTGCATACTAGAAGATGTGTGTCAGTAACTAGGTAGTGCGGAATTCCTTTACATACCGCTTCAATTGTTTTGTTAATGTGTTTCTGAATTTCCAGAAGCATCTCCACGCCCTGTAAATAGAACAACCACGATTTTCCACAACTGCAGTATAGGAATTTCAAATATCAGAACTTACACCATACATGGCTATTTCTAACTCAGAATATTCGTAGGGTCCCTGATAAGGGACCTGGTTAATGGACAACATGGTCTACAAAAGCGGAAAATTACGTGTTAATCTTTAACCCCAATTTCCATTCAGTGGAAGGTGAACGAGAGGCTCTTCTTCCTCAGTAGCCTATCGTCATTGTTCAGAACTGACTCATTCAGTTGGTTGGAGTCAGTTAATTTCATTCTCTTTAATAGTCTCATGACTAACCTTCTTGCAATATATGTCACTGGCCATCAAAGGAGTCTAGATTAGAGTGAGTGAATTGGTATAAATCCACTACCACTTAAAAAGTTGCAAAGTGTGTTCTGATAATGGTTGGGTGGGCATACTAAGACAGGTAAAGAATGGCACTCCAAGTGCTCTGGTACCCAGATACCACAACAGATATTGACTAAAGGCAACATCCGGGGCCTGGAGTCCTTACTTAAGAGTGGGTTGTTAGGAAAGCGCCAGCTTCCACTTGCTGTTGCTATAGCACATAGATCCATAAATAAAGATTTCCCAAATGACCCGAGATAACAGCCCTCCAGCATGACTAGGCCTGGAGACTGCTTTGCCCATGTCTCTTCCATGCTGGTAGTTCAAACCCACCAGCCACTCCTCAGAAGGAAGATGAGGCAACCTACTTCCATAGTGATACTGCCTCGGAAACCCAAGGAGGGGTCACTATGAGTTGGGGCCAACTTGATGGCACACAACAACTTCCATAGGTCACCAGCCTGAGTAATTGCTCTAAACATACTCTCTTTTGCTTGTGATCTTGATTTTCTTCCCATTTGCCTGATTTCCTACAACAGTTTTTCTGACTTTCTATTTCCTTCACTCTTCCTTAGTACCATAAGCCTTAGGGACCTGCAGTAAAAACTCCCTGATGCTGGAATGTATACATATATTTTAGAAAAAGCAGTGTGAGATAATGTAAGGTACTTGTTTGGTGCTTAATCCAGGATGTGGGATGCAGATCACTTCTTTCATTAAATTCAGCTTCCCTGGAGAAGACTTCCCACAGCTGACCAGAGATACCATCAGCAAGGGGACAGTTAGCTTTTTTGGCTGTTCCTGAAATGTAAGAAAAGCAAGGCAAGGCAAGAAACATGATTCGTTTGCACTAAGATACTAGTGGGTTCCAGCCATAGAATATAATAGACACTAACCTGGTTGTGCTTCAGTAACGCAATAGTTAGGTAGAGAGGATTATTTCTCAGTATGGCACTGGTCTTTGCAACAGCTAGTGACACAGCCCCTATGGCCATGCTGCCACAGAGAACAGGTTCAGCAGGTTCTTCAGGTAAGACAGGTTTTTCCGGAAGAGTATCCTTTCCTCCTGGAGGGAAATATATTGATAATAGACGTTGTTGTTGTTAGGTGCCCAATCTTCCTTCAGAGGAGAGGCTGGTGGGTTTGAACCACCAGCCTTCTGGTTAGTAGTCAAATGCCTTAGGCACTGAGCCATCAGAGCCCGCAGTAATAAGTCTGACTATAATAAAACTATATTTTTTAATGCTTTAAGTACGGATGTTACAGCCTAGCAAAAAGTAAGGATGGAAACTGAGGTTGGGAAGGATATACTCTTTACCTTCAAGGCCACTCCTCAGAAGGAAGGTTGGGAAATCCACTTCCGTGGAGATACTGCCTCAGAAACCCAAGGAGGGGTTGCTATGAGTCAGGTCTGACTTGAGGACATACAACAACAACAACAAGGTGCTCTGGTGGCATACTGCCTAAAGAAAGCATTTGACTGCTAACCAGAAGGTTGGAAGTTCAAACCCATCAGGCACTCTGTGGAAGGAAGATGGGGCAATCTCCTTCTGTAAAGATATACTGCCTCGGAAAGCCAATGAGGGTTGCTATGAATCGGAACTGATTCGATGGTAGTGAGTTTGCTTTTGGTTTAATGCTCAAATACTCCTTAGCCATGGATTTTGCCTCTCTAAGAAATTCTAACCTTCTCTCTAAGAAATTCAGAAATGTTTGCAGCAGTATACTGACAGAGAACTTCCAGAGGTTCAAGCCGGATTCAGAAGAGGATGTGGAACAAGGGATATCATAGTTGTTGTCAGATGGATCTTGGCTCAAGGCAAAGAATACCAGAAAGATGTTTACTTGTGTTTTATTGACTATGCAAAGGCATTTGATTGTGTGGATCATGA